TGTCTGGGTGACAACGTTCTACAAGCTCGCAAGATCTTCTCCTACCGCATCAAGGAGATCACCGGCAGAACTCCTAAAATCCCTGCTTTCTTCTTCGAACAAAACTGTCGACGACTACATGATTGGGATTCAGTCACCACATTAGCCACGCTGAAGCCGGTGCTTTTTGTTAGAACATGTTCGGATCAGGAAACACGACAATCACCCGACCGCTAGTGACAGCGAGAAAAGTGCGCCAATCACTATTTTTGCCATGGATCAGACATTTCACTCTACTTGAAGCATACACGCCCCATTGGGGCTGTGTGTGTGTGAACCTCCCTAGTACATGGGAGCAGAGGGTCACTCCTACACTGCTTGCAATTTTGCTTTGCAACACAATCAGACATTTGACACTTAACGATTCAAATGTTGCAGGGGGATCAGGCTTCCAGTGACTGACCTGATCCAACGAAGCTAGGTCACTGGAAGGGAAGTGATTGAGGACGCTCAGTCATGTACCTGCGCAATTTTCGGCAGCCCCCTGTGGTGCCAAGATTAGTGTGAGGACAGGCCCCCTGTGGTGTCCAGATTATACAAACAAGTTGTACGGTTGCCACAATCTGACAAACTTTTACAACATGAACAACATGCCTCTCTTTTTCCTCTTGCACTCGTACTCTTGGCCGAATCCATCAGTGTGTGTGTGTGTGTGTGTGTGTGTTTGTCTGGTTGCAGGCGTAGTGACATGCACAAAGCACATGTGCATGATGCATACAGGTGCATATGCGCATCATCGCCCATCGTAGGCCCACACCTGCTCCATACAACGTTGTGTTCTCCGCAGTTGGCTGTGGACTAGATGTTTGTTAAGTGCCAATACTGTCAGAGTCAGACGCTGAGAATGAATGATTCGAGATCTAGGGACTAGGATGAAATGCAACTTCAGACATGGCGAATCCAGGATGGCATGCGACAATAGGTACACACATCTGCATGTGTGTATCGTGCACTAATGATATTTCGTTTCAATAGCGCTTGGTCCGGATTTGTGAGCAGGCGCCCTTGCTTGGCCTCGCTTCAATTCTCCTTGGGCCTATGTTGCTGTGCTCGCCTCGGCCACGAAGGAGACAGCAGCACTCCACCATAGAAATTGGGCTGAGGTGTTATTTGCCGTCCATTCTCTTCCTTGCCGGCAGCTTAGACCGTCTTACATGATGTTTTTTATTGTTAAAACACGCTGAATTCTCGGACTGCCCGTGCTCTGCCAAGTTCTGAGTTCCCTGTACTCGCTGTTCAAGCCAAGAGCTGTCGAAGCTACTCTGTTGATGGATGTGATTGTCATGGTGGCTCCTAATACTACTACTGCGACGACGACAACTACAACTGCAACCGCAACAGCAACTACAACTGGAGCGGCGTTTTGCAGTTGCTGCTGCTGCTGCTGACCACCACCACCACCACCACAACCACGACGACTACTACGACCACCACTACCACTACACTACTACGACCACCACTACCACTGCACTACACTGCCGCCACCGCCTCCACCACCACGACGACGACCACGACGACCACGACGACGACGACGACTGAAGTATATCTTGAAGTACACAAGCTGCAAGTCCCGCAAGGTTTGGCTTCTGTTCGGAATGCAGAACTCCGCATCCACCACGTATTTGCAGCAGGGGCCGCGGCGAATGGGCGCAGCAAGATGTGCGCGTGTTCTTTTGCTTGGCTCTTGGTCGAGGTGGGACTTGGATGCACAGCTGCCCTCGTCGCCGCACGCTGCTTCTCCTTGGGTGGCCCTCTGAGCTTCCAACCAAATCTGCAGTGGCAGAAAAAAAACCTGTGAAGGTAAGCGTTTGCTTGTGACGGCATATCCTCGCAAGCGATCCCTACAACGTCCGTTAGCCTGTGCCCTGTCACCTTTCAGGCTGATGCCATGTTCCGGGTGCACTGGGCACCGCTTCCCCCCGCAGCGGCCCAAGAGTCTAATGAGGAGCAAGAAAGCTTAGAAGGCGCCGGCGACACTACAACGGAAGAACCGATACCAATGCCGGCTGTCGATGGTACTGGTAACAAGGTAGTGGGCAAGCAGCGGCGTAGGGCGTAGGGCTGGCGGTCGGGGCTGCATCATCCCTGACAGCATCATCCTCACGACCAGCAGCATCTGCACCGAATCACGGCACCATTTTGGTGATGCACCATCATCGCCCTCAGCTGCGAAATCATCGTCGTAGTCATCATAGTCTGAGTTATACTTGTTGAGAGTTTGAAAGGTTTCCGCAATCTTAAAAGGATGACGTCATGGTAGAACTCTATGCCAGGTCCTGGGTCTCCTCGCGCCCGCCGAAGCTCGGCATGGACAACTGGGCTAATCGTTCAGTCCGTCAAAGATGTGCACAGAAGATGTGTTTCATGCAACAAGTTTGTAGCAAGGAGATAAGCTGCCCATAAGTTTCGCTAGTGCATTTGATATAGAATCCGCCGGAACGTGCTCTTGCTCTGGAGACACCCTGCTCTGCATTTGAGGCGGCCGTTTGCGCGCAACGGTTCCGTGGCCTGGGGCACAGTGTCTCAGGGCCTTCTGGGGTTTGGGATTCCTGGTGTTCGGCTCGTGGGTCTCACGGACACGCTATTTTTTCATCGCAGAACGGGAGCATGGGCTAGCCCCGCCAAGCTTCAGAACAGGTCAGTGTCCTTGTTTTCCGTAAAGACCTGATGCGAGGGCATGAGTTAGGATGATTTTTCCCGTGCGTGGTTGGTCTTCGGCTTGATCCATGAAGCTGAATGCTTTACATGCTTGGATGGTGATAAGTCAGGGCCATTTTACTTTTTTTCAGTGGTCTGTGAACCGAGGACGAGATTGCTGTTCGTAGCTCAGTAAGCATGACATAGAGAAGGTGCAGTCATCTGGGGCCCGCCGAAATCACATAAAATGAAAGCCAAGCCGCTACCCTTCCTTGCTCGGAGTTTATTCAATGCTCTGCTGATCTTGTTTCTGTTTGAGGCTTTTCCGGAGGTTTGTGGTAGAATTCCAGAACTGACTTCAATCTTGAGGGGCCCGGGCCCCGATTGCCGCCACGCACTTCGCCCCTGGCCTGGGAGCAGCTCTGCCACTCGGCTTTGGCCTGGGAGCAGCTCGGAGTCCAGGGGAGAAAGAAAATGCAGGAAATGCGCCGGAAGACTCGGCTCGCCTCGCAGACAGATACCAGTTTCATTGTCCGTAGAACCATCAGCATTATCTCAATGTTTCCTTCTTACCTTCATGACTGCTAGTGATGTGATGAGTCTTCTCATGACTATTGCATGTCTTTTTGTTGTTAAGTCCAAGCTTTGGCTCTTCAGCGTCGACACCAGGCTCCTGCTGGCCACCGCCGTCACGGCCATGGCCTCAGCCTCCAGCCGCTTGGCCGCAAGCGATGGAGATTTTGGCATCTTCCCGTGAACGATCCGTGGGTGCAGGGATCTCGGAGGTTTCGAAGATTGGGGGACTGGAGAGCATGTCCAGACCGATGTTACTAGTACCGTGAACAGGGAGACCACTCGGAGGTGGTTTCGAGGACGAAAATCCGCGGCCCGGGCTTTTCCATTCTTCATTATTCATACAGGTGGTTGCCAAAATTATGGTCCCTGCTTGGGTCCCTGTTATAATACGGCTCCAATAATTTAGGGTATCCAGCAAGGGACCATAATTGTGTTAACCACCCATATTCCCCTCATGCATTTTTGAATCCGTCTGGTGTTTCTGATTATGGAAGCACAGAGTCTACCGAGGCATCCTCGAGATCGCTTGCTTGCCCGGAAGCCCGGAAGAAGAAGTCATGTTAGTAAGAATGGATGGATGGATGGATGAGCCAGATTCATACACGTAGAAACATGTGCACATTTACACCGTTGCACATATGCACATGCAGATATAGACGTAGCAAGCCGGATGCTGCGCCCGATGCGTAGGCCCGTTTCGGCTGCGCCGGCGCCTTGGAGTCTTCGGCTTCGCGAAGGAAGGCGCTTGAAAGAAGCCCGACCGCAGGCTTTCCGCCCTGCTTCTGCCAGTCTCCGGCCAAAGTCGGTTCCAGGACCGGGAAAGGGAGATCCTTGCATCTGCGCCTCGAAGAGACATGATGTGACGCCGAGGGCTGCGTAGCTTCGCAGGACCTCGCGGGACAAAAACTGGATTGAGCAAGATCAGCAAGGTTCCAGTGACCCAAAGACTGGTCGCTGCCAGAGCGAAATGCCAAAATTCGCGCTGCTCCAGGGAAGCCTATTCAGTACAGATGTCCTGTCGGGACTGGCTTAGGAAGGGCTGCAGAGACATTCGGCTCAAGGTACTCGTAGCCTTCGGCTTGGTCAGGGCTTGGCACGCCAGCTGAATCTTGCGTGGGTTGCGTGGTTCGGCAGCAATAAATAAGCTTACAAGCACACTCCGGCCTATGCTGATGGTGAGGCCGGCAGCAGTCTTAAGCTTTCAATCAGATCAGTGCATGACCAGTACCGCCGTCAAACTTTGACTCACTGCGGTTTTAGTCATTAAGGTCACGTCCTGGGGAGGTGAGCCACTTGGAGGGTACCGTGCTTTTTTGTCGAGTAGACTTGCGGCAAGAGTTTGCGACGCCCGAAGGACCGTGAAGCACGGAGCGTGCCGTGACGGCCAAGGGCGTTGGGCCAATGTGCCCTCTGGCATGTCGAATGTGATCTTTGCAGAGGAGTAAACATGATCTTTGGCCGATGACGCATGCTGCTTGAGAAGCCAGGTTAGAGTCTTGGAAATGCCATGCTATCGGAGGATAGGTCGGGATGGGCCATGAAACAAGTGCAAAGCCATTCGGCTCAAAGGTGGCCGTGACTTCGGCCTGGGGCATGTCAGCGTAGTCCACATTGCTTGGCAGTGGCAACGACTAAGCACAATTCAGGCAGTGCTGATGGTTCGCTCACCAGCAGCTAGCGTGCATCTTTGAGGCTGCTTTCAGCAAGCCGAAGAAGGTCATCAGCACAAGACGTTCAGTGTGAGAAAAATGGACATTCGAGTTCAGGCCATCCTGAGCTCTTTGTGGCCGGCTGCGCGTCGGCCCTTGGCGCCCTTTCTGGTGCTGGGCGTTGACATTCTGGACGCCTTGGACCTGGCCTCCTGCGAGGAGGCTTCGCCGCCCGCGACCTGGGAGCCAGAGCCCGGTGTGGCTCAAGAACTGGATGGCCCCAGAGAAAGTCGTGTTGATGATCAAGACGACTTTCTCTGGGGCCATCCAGTTCTTGAGCCACACCTGATGATGTGGATCCGCAAAACGCGGGCGATTTCCTCATCACGCCAAGCCCCGGACAGGAGCCCGTGGAAGGTGTTTTCCGGCGGGACGGTGTGTTGCTACAGGGCTGGCAGGGGCAGCCAGACGGTGTCTGGAGAGAAGGAAGATGGCTTCCGGGAATGCTAGCACCTGTAGCCCTCCACTTTGACCTCCTTCAAAAGCTGGCAGGCGTTTGGGCAGACCTTAGCGGAGACCGTCCCATTCCTGTTGCTGTCATAGTTTGACAGCAGCAGGAATGTGGTTGTCTCCAGCTTTGATGGTGAGTGTGGAGCGCAGCTCGACTCTTCGGATTCCCCTGAAGACGCTGGACCAGGTGTTTGGCACACCCAGCGCCCCCCCGGGCTTTGTTTTGGCGCAGGTGGCCAGGGCCTAAGGAGGGAGAAGCTCGAGGCCTTCTGTTGGTTTCTCGCAGCCTTCCCAGGCCGTCACCGGAACATCGGTCCTTGGCAATGCTTGTCTACGACGGCCTGAGGTGCGCCTTCTGTCGCCCTTCAGCCCAATCAGCGCGCTTCTGGGGTCCTGAAAAGCTAAGATCTCGCTCGCGGCCGTGTTTGTCTAGGGAAGTTCAGCGCAGCGTCGCACTCTCCTGGAAGAGAGATGGAAGTCGATTTTGCGGAAGGAGAAACTACGCAGAAGCCGAGCCCTGACGTCAAGCCAGGAAGAGTGGTTGATGCTGACGGAGCCGAAGATGTAGTATACCATTTTGTTGGCCAGCGCCTCCTTCGGCCGCAACGAGGATGATGCGGGGCAGGGCTTGGCGGCTTGCCTTTGACGAGTTGGGCCACCACATGGTCATGACTCGCATCACGAGACGCACGTGCCTCGAGTTGATGCGATGGCTTGCGGAAATGATGATGCAGTCTTGTCACGCTGGCCGGCGGCATTCGAGGAGATGGGCGACTATCTTGCTAAATACAGTAGCTTTGCTGCATGACTGAGTGCCACATCCAGCTGGCTGTGTTGCTTCTAGAAGCTGATGAAGGTGACCAAGCTCTACCAGGTGAGGCAGTGCAGGCTGTGTTCAAGCAGCAGACGTTTTCGGGAGGTGGGCTTGTTCCTGACTATTCCTGACTTGTTTGTGTTTGTGTGAGCTTTGACTGGCATGCCTGGCATGCCACAGGCGATGCAAGCGTTCTTGACAGTTTGGGGTATTCACCCCGCAAAGAAATGCGCCGGCCGGCGAGGTGGCATTAGCAGGCCAGCACGAAGCACTTCTAACCAAGCGCATGGATGTCGGGCGTTGATGCTGTGGCAAGGTCCGGAAATAGGCCAACGAACTGCTTGATCATGCTTCCAATCTCAAAGCGAGCCAAGAAGATTTCGTGCGTGATCCTTGCATGCGAGCACCGCTTGGACCGCTCCTTGGCGAAATTGACAAGAGACAGATGACAAACCTAGACAACTTTAGCTTCTTCGGCTGCACGTAGGACAAGCGTGTGCGCTACTACGGGGCACTTCGGTCAAGGCTGAGTGGTTGGTCAATCTGGCAACAGGACAGTCGCCACAAAATTTTGTAGAGTACTGATCATTGTGAATTACTATGGATGACGCTAACCCTGGTTCTTTGGCAAGATAGGAACGTCTATCAACGCAGGGCTGTTGGCCGTCGTCAGGCTTGTGGCGGAAATTTCTGAGGACTGCAGAGGCGCCTGCACATAAGCCACATGTTTCAACTGGCATTGAAAGCGCTTTCCGCTGGAGCTGAGCCCCGCGCGCCCGCCGACGCTCTCCAGCCAGGATATGGCCAGGCTTCAGCTACCGAGCCGTCACCGGTGCCATGTGTGGACTCCAATTCTAAGGGCAGTCTAGAGCACAGTACCACGGCTACAGGCTACTAGGGCGTCACAAGCTACGCCAAGAAAGCGCAGCCGGTGAAAACGACACGAGGCTTGAAGACACGGAGCAAATACCACCGCTAGCCCTACTTTCATAGGATAACGGGATGTGGGAAGGACACAGTTAAGCTGATTTCCCGTATTCGTCAACAGCAAGCAGCCGAAGCAAGTGCAGCCAATTTTGAGCATATCGCTCCAGCGCTGAGGTGGGGATTAAATGATTACGCAATGGGCCGAGACGTTAAGCAACAGTTTATGACTGCTGGAGTCTCCAGATTCAGATCATTTGACGAGTGGTGCGATTGCTTTCATGGTCCTCTAGTTCGATTGCGTGCCCTCGCGATAGGGGCATGTACTTGCAACGTGACTTGGGGACTTGGGGTTCACTTAGACTTGCCCTCGCGATGTCCCTTGCCCAAAGCTTTGCCCAAAGAGTGCCAGGCTCGATGGGACGGAGCCGCAGCCGCAGCCGCCTGAGAAGCCGTGGCAAAAAATAACCCTGAAGGGTTTAGGGTTTAGGGAACAGATCTTACAAGTCCTTGCCCAGGGAGCGGCTCGAAGCCGCGAGACGGGGGTGGAGGCAAGCGCCACCCGCCTGCAGGAGCCTTCCAAAACTGCGAAGCTCCGTTCGAAGATTTCGGGGGGCTCATTGCTCTGAAATGATCTAGGGGAGGTGTTGGAACTTCAAAAGGCCGAGCGTGGCCGGATTAACTCCTGTCCTTTCTTCCCCGTGAGAACCCGAGCTCAAAGCCCATAAACCGCGACGCAAAAACAAACATCGGGGCGCCAAGGTGAGAAGGGCACGATCAACACTTGGAACAACGACCGCCAGTTCGGCTTCGTCTCCTGTGATTCTGGCCGTGCCTCGGCAGAAACTGGCGGCCTTTTGAAGGCCTCAACAGGGGAGTCGCCCAAGCGCTGCAGTGTCACCCGCGACACGGTTTAGGCTTTGGACCCCAAGAAACCCAAAATCCCAACTGAGGCCAGGATCTCTTCACTCATGCGGAATACATCACGGATGCTCGGAAAGAGCCAAAGCATCGGCTTCAGGGCATTACTATGAGCTGAGTTGCTGCTCTTGGTCTTCTTTGGGTTTAGGGTTTAGGGGGTTGCGCTTTAGGATTTAGGGTTGTGGCTCTCATTGCTGTAGCAAGCATCTGCGTAGAAGACTTGGTTGGCAGTATGTTGCCAATGTATCCTGCCATGTAGGAAAGTTTGACACAGTCCTCGTCTCAAGGGATGTCCATCATCGGGACTTCAATCATGCTGCAGTTTCGCTTTTCGTCGCGAATTCTGGTCGCGATCAAACCTTCGTGTGCAGTACCTCGTCTCGGAACGGCAGCTGCTTTGCAACTTAGTCTGAGCACGCACAGTGACAGACTGCTGCCCTTGGCCTGCCTCAGGACACTAATGCGCGATACGATGCGAAGACACGTGGCTTGCGCCGTGGGGATAGGCTGGTTCGAGGGTGCGAAGAGTTCGGCTGACGCCTCGTAGAATTTAGTGGCACAGCTCAGTCTGTGCAGATCTTGTCTTTGTCAGCGCTCCGGGTGGCTTGGCTCTTCAGTTGAGCTTACGTGAACAGGATATCCTTCGAGGTCGAAGAGCCACAGGGCAACAAGAAGAGTCAGCAGGCCGGAAGCTGATGTTCAGTTCGTCCTGCTGCACCTTACCCTGGTCTACTCCGCAGCAGCGCACGGAATAGTGGCTGCGCACTTGCAGCAGCTGTGGTGCTACTGATTTGGTTACTTGGTTGCAGGCTGTGAATGTCGAGATACTAGAGCTGGCGGGGCTCTCAATGTTTGCTTGCCCACGTTGCATTCATCTCGATGGCTTCGGCGATCGTCCAGAGCCCGTCCTCGAGGATCATAATAAAACTATTATGTTTAGCAGGAAAAGTATCGGCAGATTAGCATCTTCCCTCCCAGTTTTGTCTTTGCAAGCAGCCTTTAACCCAACATCCCAAAATGCCCTAAGCTCTAACCGGTCTTGAACTCAAGAGCCTGTAAATCCCCGATGAAGCTGTCGAAAATTTTCACGAAGCTGATAGACCTCACACTAAACTCCTGCTGCACTCCACAACCTCACAAGCCTAGAACCCTAAAGCCACAAAGCCATGAAACCCTAAAACCAGAGTAGCCTTGCAACCCTCGAGCCCCAAACACCAAAAGCCCGTGATCTTTCCGAGCGTGAGTACAGGGGTCAGAATAATCAATAGTGGTATCCGTCAGTGTTCTTATACGCTTTTACCAGCCACTCTCGCAGAGTGCTAAACCCGAAAACCTTTGTTTTACTTCCCCATGGGGATTCTTGTTTGACGGCTGATCCAGGCGAACAAATGATTGAACAAAGCTTATACCTTCGAGGGAGCCCCGAAAAAGCCTATACATAAATCCCATAAGCCCTTCTAGGAACTTATTCTGCCTGTTAGGGTCCCAAATTTTTTTGTAGTATCCCAAAACCATTAGAGGAACGCTCAACCCTAAGCCCCAACCCTTCTAACAAGCCTGACCTGAACCCCAAGCCCACTTAAAGGATCATGGGACTTAGTAACTATGGTCATAATTAGGGTAACTATACTTATAACCCCAACTAAGGTACTTATAACCTTACTTACTAAGCCCCATGATCCTCCAAGCCCACTGGGGTTGCGCTCAGATGAAGCGTTCACGCTCTCCAAGCCGCCGGCGCAGCCGCAGCCCTCGCCGATCGAGGCTCTGAGCGTTTGGGTTTTTGGCTTTTAGGTGTATAATGATAATTAATATTATGGTAACTATAGCAATAATTCTAAGCATAATAATGCTCATAGGTGTAGAATGATAATAGCAAGAACCTGAATTACAATCATAATATTGCCAACCATAGCAAGAAAACCATCAAGACAAATAACAATAACGAGAGTAAGCATAACAAGGAGAGTGCTCACATTAGTATTCATACTAATGCTGATACCCATACTGATACTCATACTATGACGAACACTAGTACTGCTACAACTACTGCTACTAGTACGAGCACCTACTACTACTACTACTACTACTACTACTACTACTACTACTACTAGTATTACTACTACTACTACTACTGCTACTACTGCTACTACTTCTGCTACTACTACTACTACTACTGCTACTACTACTACTACTACTACTAGCCAGCCCCCTACCAACCACCCCTTTTACCTACATGCTCTTGTAACAGACATTGGTTTTACTCGGTATTTATAGCACTGTCGTCATGTAGGAACATCGTATGAAGCCTCAAACTTCACCTGCGAGTTTTCAAACTCTAGCATCCGATTCTGGACTTGCTTTTGGGGGGGGTGCGGGAAGAATGATGACGACATTCTTACGCCGACACCCGGTACAACATCTCCGGAAGATCCATTTTACTCGGTATTTACAGTACTTTCGTGACGTCAGCCAACTTATATATATATATATATACATATATATATATATATATATAGTCGCCTATCCTACCTCTGGACTTTGCTACACTGCTACGTTGTCTTTTTTCCTTTGCGAATGCTCTCAGCGAGAACTCGAAATTGGTTGGGGGAAAGCTTTTTTAACAACAATACTAACAAGAGTAACACAAAACCATACTCACATTAGCATAGTCCAGTGTCGTATATCCTGTTCTTTTCCCAATTATTGGGTTCTTGGGTGTAGGGCTGTAGGGCACAGAGAAGGGATTTGGATTCGGATCTCCGAACAGCCCAAGAAAGCTACCGAAAAGCATCGCTCCCGCTTTGGTGCGGTGCAAGTTTGTTTCCCGCATCCTTACAGTCGAAGCAGTATTCGGGGGCAACGATTTTGGTGTCCTTGCCGATGCCGCACTCCCGAATCCTCCTCAATCCAGGCAGTACTCAGAAGAAAGCATGTGGACAGTGGTGCCCAGTCCTCCAGCATTTGTCGGAAAGCATTCTGGTGGTCTCTGGGTGTTCTGCTGGCATTTCTGGTAGTTTTCTCGTCGTCGTGGTGCTCTTTGGTTGTTTCGAGATCTACACTGGCAGAATAGTTCTTGTCATTGTAGCACAAGGGGTTTGTGTGGGTTTAGTGTATGCGGCTTTGAGGGTATTCCCTTTTAGTCGGAGGTTGTTCACAGAACCATTTTAGACGGTTTCAGATTTCTGCTGTATTCTACTGAAGCACTGATGCGGTTAAACCACTAACAGACTGCCAATTAATTGGTGAATGGGCTGCATGGTACACGCTCTGATAACATATCCTGGTTCTGTTTGGTAAGTAGGCATGCCTGTCGAATCTTGTCAACATCCGCGGAGGTCTGGAGGTGGTGGCCGTGGCGGCGGCGGTCGCGGTGGTGGCGGTGGTGGCGGTGGTAGGCCACCAAGTCGGCCCATGCAGCGAGCCAAGCCCTCAGCACTTCGCAATTGGTGTAGTGTAGGAGCCGTCGGCTCGTGGCCACTGAGGCCGGAGACCGGGACTTTGCACGGCGCGACGACTCTCGCAGACGCGACCGCCGCGACTCGCGCGCTCGTGACTCCCGTGCAAGGGGACCAAGGCTAGAGTGCAGTTCTGCTCTGTAAGCGTCCATAGCTCTCATGGGAAGCACCTGGGGGCACGACTTCCACCAGTCGAGCAGTTCTTGGCAGTACATTCCCTAGTATGTCTCGTGACGAGCGGGCGAGAGAACGCACACCCTACGGGAGCTCGGCAGAAAATGCATGGCACCTCGGAGTTTGGTGAGTTTTGCAAAGGGCCCGAGAGGGTGCACCATGGCGAACCTTGGGCTAAGCCGCCCCCCCGTACTGCGTCATGCTACATCCAGCGAGCCGTGAGCCAGCCGTAGCTTTGCACCTTCCCTACAAGTTTACCAGCTTTCAGCAAAGCTTTTCCCGAGTCCGATTGTAGGTGAGACATCATGGCAGTAGTAATTACATGCCCAACGCTCCTTCTAGTTCCACGGGCTGCTACACACCGGTCGCCTGATCCTCGGAATCCCGCAGACCAATATTGCAACGGAAGTGTGAATTGGCCATGACATCTTGCCAAAGCACTTTGCAGGCAGAGAAGTCCTCGCAAAGGATCGCGCAGCAGAAGCCTTCGCAAAGCATCGCGCAGCAGCAGGCGCCCTTGGATTTTCTGTCATGCTCCTGTCCAGGCTACACGTTGCAATGCAGCAAGTCCGAACTAAGCTGGGGCTCAAAGATGACTTCGTATGAAGCCCTTGAATCGCGACTTTCTTCAGTGTCCTAGACGGGCCTACGGTGGCCCTGAGCCTCAAAAAGCACTTTCCTGGAAGGACGAGGCAGCCTGATAAAAGCCCTGTTTTGATCCCGAAAGACTTGCGAAACCTTTCGTTTGACGAGGCAGCCTGAGAGAAGCCCTATTCTCATCCCGAAAGACTTGCGAATCCTTTCGTTTGAGGCGCTGATTGGCGATTTCTGATCGACGGCTGAGCCTATCGACGTCACCGTCTGACTGTGCTGGCTTGAGATTTGGCCTTTATGGTGGATTTGCTGTGGTTTGGGCGATCACTGTGGGTTTTCATGAAACCATGGGGGTGTGGCGCTTGGTGATTTGGGCCCCGGACTTGGGTGCTAAGAAACGTTGTGGACGCAGCCGTCTGAAGCCGATAAGATGTTAGTTTTCAGATCATACAATGACGGGGTTGGGTGGTTGCTTGTTTCCTGAGGGGATATGCGAAGGAGTCAAAAAGAGCCGGCCTGCAAAGTTTGGCATGTATGGTGTCGAACTCTCTGCGTTCCCTCCTCTTCCTTGTGCATCCGCGAGGTGGGGCAACCTTCCTCTATGGCAGGCTGAGGTGGGCTCGTGAGCGGCATGTCCTGAGCTTGTCGAAACTCATGGAGCAGGTTCTGTCATTTTGCTCAGAAGTTCTCGGAAGTTTTGCTGCGGAAGCTTCATGATAAAGCCGGATCCAGATGACGATAATCGTGTTCATGTTGATCCTTGCATGAGAAGCCTTGGCTGAAGGTTCAAGCTGATCGCGAGAAGGTGTGACACGCTGCTGGGCATGCAGAGTTTCCCAGTCGCACAAAATATTGGTTCTCCGCGCGGTGTTGGGTTGCAGGAATCGAAGCAGCTCATGTTTCTCAAGCTGGTTTTCGCCGCAAGTTTCGCGTTCATCGGCTTCAATCCAAGGTGCAACGATGCGGCCTTCGCCAAGCTGGACGGGTTTTGCGGCTGTACGATTCTAGCCTTCAGTCTGCGGCAGATAAGCAGATGTACGGCCTCGCCTCTTCCTCCACCACTACAGCCAGCAACACACAGCCGCTCGCGCTATTTCACTATGTGCCTGTGCAGCTACATGCAACTCAGCAATTAGCTGTCACGACCTCACGAGCGAACCCGAAGAGGGGCACGGGTGGCTGGCGGGACTACGATCCTTGCTTAGGCATTCGCCAGTGTTGGATCCCGCATCTATCGGGCAATGTGCCGGTAGCCAGAAGGTGTTTGGAGAGAAGGAAGATGGCTCCCGGGAATGCCAGCACCTGTAGCCCTCCACTTTGATCCCGTCAGAAGCTGGCAGGAGTTTGGGCGGACCTTGGGTCTTCACGACTACACCGTCCCATTTCTGCTGCTGGCAAACTACGCGTGTGTCGCAGCTTGTCTGTAGCTTTGATGGTGAGTGCGAAACGCGGCTCGACTTTTCGGATTCGCGGAAGGCACTGGATCACGCACTTGGCGCGACCGGTTTTTTCGGGCTTTGTTCTGGCACAGGTGGCCAGGGCCTAAGGAGGGAGAAGCTTCTGTCAAAGTGGCTTTCTGTTGGCTTCTCGCAGCCTTCCTAGGCCGGCGCAGGAGCATCGCTCCTTGGCAAAGCTCGCGACGGCCCGAGGTGTGCCTTCTGACACCTCTGAGCCCAGGATGTTTGACAGCTCTGCCACTGCCATGGCGCACGCTGCTATGCTCTTGATTATGGATCCGGAACATGATTATGAGGACAGATTTGGAGGGACTTGGAGGGTTGACTGTGCTCTGAACTCGAATAGATTTGCAGCAAGAGTTTGCGACCCCCGAAGGATTGTCAATGGCGTTCTGAGCCGTGAAGGGCCATGGGATGCCATGGGTCAATGTGCCCTCTGCCCAGGGCCATGGGTCAATGTGCCCTCTCTGCCCTGTCGAATGCGATCTTTGCAAAGGAGAAAACATGACGTGCCTCTCTGGCCGATGATGCATGCTTTCTTTGAGGACGTTGAGATGCCAGCCGCGCTATTGGAGGATAGGTCGAGATGGGCTATCGGATGGGTGTGGAGTGTTGAGCCATTCGGCTCAAGGTAGCCGTGACTTCGGCTTGGGGCATGTCAAGCTAATCCATGGCATGTCATGCTAGTTGACGTTGTTTGGCAGTGGCACTCGCTACTGAACTCAGGCAGCATTGATACGCTGTTTGGCAGTGGCAAAATCACGGAGTGAAATTCTGAAAGCTCGCTGCTAAACTCAGGCAGTGCTAATGGTTAGACCAGCAGCTAGAAGGCATCTTTTAAAGCTGCTTCCTTCAGCAAGATGGACATTCGAGTTCAGGCCATCCTGAGCTCTTTTTGGCCGGCTGCGCGTCGGCCCTTGGCGCCCTTCCTGGTGCTGGGCGTTGACATTTTGGATTTTGGACGCCTTGGACTTGGCCTCCTGCAAGGAGGCTTCGCCGCCCGCGACCTGGGAGCCAGAGCCCGGTGTAGAAAGTCGTGTTGATGTGGATCCGCAAAGCGCGGGCGATTTCCTCATCACGCCAAGCCCTGCACAGGAGCCGTGGCTACAGGGCTGGCAGGGGTAGCTAGAAGGTGTTTGGAGAGAAGGAAGATGGCTCCCGGGAATGCCAGCACCTGTAGCCCTCCACTTTGATCCCGTCAGAAGCTGGCAGGAGTTTGGGCGGACCTTGGGTCTTCACGACTACACCGTCCCATTTCTGCTGCTGGCAAACTACGCGTGTGTCGCAGCTTGTCTGTAGCTTTGATGGTGAGTGCGGAACGCAGCTCGACTTTTCGGATTCGCGGAAGGCACTGGATCACGCACTTGGCGCGACCGGCGCCCCTCCGGGCTTTGTTCTGGCACAGGTGGCCAGGGCCTAAGGAGGGAGAAGCTTCTGTCAAAGTGGCTTTCTGTTGGCTTCTCGCAGCCTTCCTAGGCCGGCGCAGGAGCATCGCTCCTTGGCAAAGCTCGCGACGGCCCGAGGTGTGCCTTCTGACACCTCTGAGCCCAGGATGTTTGACAGCTCTGCCACTGCCATGGCGCACGCTGCTATGCTCTTAATTATGGATCCGGAACATGATTATGAGGACAGATTTGGAGGGACTTTGAGGGTTGACTGTGCTCTGAACTCGAATAGATTTGCAGCAAGAGTTTGCGACCCCCGAAGGATTGTCAATGGCGTTCTGAGCCGTGAAGGGCCATGGGATGCCATGGGTCAATGTGCCCTCTGCCCAGGGCCATGGGTCAATGTGCCCTCTCTGCCCTGTCGAATGCGATCTTTGCAAAGGAGAAAACATGACGTGCCTCTCTGGCCGATGATGCATGCTTTCTGTGAGGACGTTGAGATGCCAGCCGCGCTATTGGAGGATAGGTCGAGATGGGCTATCGGACGGGTGTGGAGTGTTGAGCCATTCGGCTCAAGGTAGCCGTGACTTCGGCTTGGGGCATGTCAAGCTAATCCACGGCATGTCGTGCTAGTTGACGTTGTTTGGCAGTGGCACTCGCTACTGAACTCAGGCAGTGCTAATGGTTAGACCAGCAGCTAGAAGGCATTTTTTAAAGCTGCTTCCTTCAGCGAGATGGACATTCGAGTTCAGGCCATCCTGAGCTCTTTGTGGCCGGCTGCGCGTCGGCCCTTGGCGCCCTTCCTGGTGCTGGGCGTTGACATTTTGGACGCCTTGGACTTGGCTTCCTGCAAGGAGGCTTCGCCGCCCGCGACCTGGGAGCCAGAGCCCGGTGTAGAAAGTCGTGTTGATGTGGATCCGCAAAGCGCGGGCGATTTCCTCATCACGCCAAGCCCTGCACAGGAGCCGTGGCTACAGGGCTGGCAGGGGTAGCTAGAAGGTGTTTGGAGAGAAGGAAGATGGCTCCCGGGAATGCCAGCACCTGTAGCCCTCCACTTTGATCCCGTCAGAAGCTGGCAGGAGTTTGGGCGGACCTTGGGTCTTCACGACTACACCGTCCCATTTCTGCTGCTGGCAAACTACGCGTGTGTCGCAGCTTGTCTGTAGCTTTGATGGTGAGTGCGAAACGCGGCTCGACTTTTCGGATTCGCGGAAGGCACTGGATCACGCACTTGGCGCGACCGGTTTTTTCGGGCTTTGTTCTGGCACAGGTGGCCAGGGCCTAAGGAGGGAGAAGCTTCTGTCAAAGTGGCTTTCTGTTGGCTTCTCGCAGCCTTCCTAGGCCGGCGCAGGAGCATCGCTCCTTGGCAAAGCTCGCGACGGCCCGAGGTGTGCCTTCTGACACCTCTGAGCCCAGGATGTTTGACAGCTCTGCCACTGCCATGGCGCACACTGCTATGCTCTTGATTATGGATCCGGAACATGATTATGAGGACAGATTTGGAGGGACTTTGAGGGTTGACTGTGCTTTGAACTCGAATAGATTTGCAGCAAGAGTTTGCGACCCCCGAAGGATTGTCAATGGCGTTCTGAGCCGTGAAGGGCCATGGGATGCCATGGGTCAATGTGCCCTCTGCCCAGGGCCATGGGTCAATGTGCCCTCTCTGCCCTGTCGAATGCGATCTTTGCAAAGGAGAAAACATGACGTGCCTCTTTGGCCGATGATGCATGCTTTCTGTGAGGACGTTGAGATGCCAGCCGCGCTATTGGAGGATAGGTCGAGATGGGCTATCGGACGGGTGTGGAGTGTTGAGCCATTCGGCTCAAGGTAGCCGTGACTTCGGCTTGGGGCATGTCAAGCTAATCCACGGCATGTCGGGCTAGTTGACGTTGTTTGGCAGTGGCACTCGCTACTGAACTCAGGCAGTACTGATACGTTGTTTGGCAGTGGCAAAATCACGGAGTGAAATTCTGAAAGCTCGCCGCTAAACTCAGGCAGTCTCCGTTGAAAACATGGAAAGTCGAGTTCAGGCCATCCCGAGCTCTTTGTGGCCGGCTGCGCGTCGGCCCTTGGCGCCCTTCCTGGTGCTGGGCGTTGACATTTTGGACGCCTTGGACTTGGCCTCCTGCGAGGAGGCTTCGCCGCCCGCGACCTGGGAGCCAGAGCTCGGTGTGGCTCAAGAACTGGTTGGCGCCAAAGAAAGTCGTGTTGATGTGGATCCACAAAACGCGCGTTTTGCGGATCCACATCAGCACGACTTTCTCTAGGGCCATCCAGTTCTTGAGCCACACCTGATGATGTGGATCCGCAAAACGCGGGCGATTTCCTCATCACGCCAAGCCCTGCACAGGAGCCTGTGGAAGGTGTTTTCCGGCGGGACGGTGTGTTGCTACAGGGCTGGCAGGGGTAGCCAGAAGGTGCTTGGAGAGAAGGAAGATGGCTCCCGGGAATGCCAGCACCTGTAGCCCTCCACTTTGATCCCGTCAGAAGCTGGCAGGAGTTTGGGCGGACCTTGGGTCTTCACGACTACACCGTCCCATTTCTGCTGCTGGCAAACTACGCGTGTGTCGCAGCTTGTCTGTAGCTTTGATGGTGAGTGCGGAACGCAGCTCGACTTTTCGGATTCGCGGAAGGCACTGGATCACGCACTTGGCGCGACCGGCGCCCCTCCGGGCTTTGTTCTGGCACAGGTGGCCAGGGCCTAAGGAGGGAGAAGCTTCTGTCAAAGTGGCTTTCTGTTGGCTTCTCGCAGCCTTCCTAGGCCGGCGCAGGAGCATCGCTCCTTGGCAAAGCTCGCGACGGCCCGAGGTGTGCCTTCTGACACCTCTGAGCCCAGGATGTTTGACAGCTCTGCCACTGCCATGGCGCACGCTGCTATGCTCTTGATTATTAATCAAGAGCATAGCAGCGTGCGCCATGATGATTATGGATCCGGAAGATGAGGACAGATTTGGAGGGACTTGGAGGGTTGACTGTGCTCTGAACTCGAATAGATTTGCAGCAAGAGTTTGCGACCCCCGAAGGATTGTCAATGGCGTTCTGAGCCGTGAAGGGCCATGGGATGCCATGGGTCAATGTGCCCTCTGCCCAGGGCCATGGGTCAATGTGCCCTCTCTGCCCTGTCGAATGCGATCTTTGCAAAGGAGAAAACATGACGTGCCTCTCTGGCCGATGATGCATGCTTTCTTTGAGGACGTTGAGATGCCAGCCGCGCTATTGGAGGATAGGTCGAGATGGGCTATCGGATGGGTGTGGAGTGTTGAGCCATTCGGCTCAAGGTAGCCGTGACTTCGGCTTGGGGCATGTCAAGCTAATCCATGGCATGTCGTGCTAGTTGACGTTGTTTGGCAGTGGCACTCGCTACTGAACTCAGGCAGCATTGATACGCTGTTTGGCAGTGGCAAAATCACGGAGTGAAATTCTGAAAGCTCGCTGCTAAACTCAGGCAGTGCTAATGGTTAGACCAGCAGCTAGAAGGCATCTTTTAAAGCTGCTTCCTTCAGCAAGATGGACATTCGAGTTCAGGCCATCCTGAGCTCTTTTTGGCCGGCTGCGCGTCGGCCCTTGGCGCCCTTCCTGGTGCTGGGCGTTGACATTTTGGATTTTGGACGCCTTGGACTTGGCCTCCTGCAAGGAGGCTTCGCCGCCCGCGACCTGGGAGCCAGAGCCCGGTGTAGAAAGTCGTGTTGATGTGGATCCGCAAAGCGCGGGCGATTTCCTCATCACGCCAAGCCCTGCACAGGAGCCGTGGCTACAGGGCTGGCAGGGGTAGCTAGAAGGTGTTTGGAGAGAAGGAAGATGGCTCCCGGGAATGCCAGCACCTGTAGCCCTCCACTTTGATCCCGTCAGAAGCTGGCAGGAGTTTGGGCGGACCTTGGGTCTTCACGACTACACCGTCCCATTTCTGCTGCTGGCAAACTACGCGTGTGTCGCAGCTTGTCTGTAGCTTTGATGGTGAGTGCGGAACGCAGCTCGACTTTTCGGATTCGCGGAAGGCACTGGATCACGCACTTGGCGCGACCGGCGCCCCTCCGGGCTTTGTTCTGGCACAGGTGGCCAGGGCCTAAGGAGGGAGAAGCTTCTGTCAAAGTGGCTTTCTGTTGGCTTCTCGCAGCCTTCCTAGGCCGGCGCAGGAGCATCGCTCCTTGGCAAAGCTCGCGACGGCCCGAGGTGTGCCTTCTGACACCTCTGAGCCCAGGATGTTTGACAGCTCTGCCACTGCCATGGCGCACGCTGCTATGCTCTTAATTATGGATCCGGAACATGATTATGAGGACAGATTTGGAGGGACTTTGAGGGTTGACTGTGCTCTGAACTCGAATAGATTTGCAGCAAGAGTTTGCGACCCCCGAAGGATTGTCAATGGCGTTCTGAGCCGTGAAGGGCCATGGGATGCCATGGGTCAATGTGCCCTCTGCCCAGGGCCATGGGTCAATGTGCCCTCTCTGCCCTGTCGAATGCGATCTTTGCAAAGGAGAAAACATGACGTGCCTCTCTGGCCGATGATGCATGCTTTCTGTGAGGACGTTGAGATGCCAGCCGCGCTATTGGAGGATAGGTCGAGATGGGCTATCGGACGGGTGTGGAGTGTTGAGCCATTCGGCTCAAGGTAGCCGTGACTTCGGCTTGGGGCATGTCAAGCTAATCCATGGCATGTCGTGCTAGTTGACGTTGTTTGGCAGTGGCACTCGCTACTGAACTCAGGCAGTGCTAATGGTTAGACCAGCAGCTAGAAGGCATCTTTTAAAGCTGCTTCCTTCAGCGAGATGGACATTCGAGTTCAGGCCATCCTGAGCTCTTTGTGGCCGGCTGCGCGTCGGCCCTTGGCGCCCTTCCTGGTGCTGGGCGTTGACATTTTGGACGCCTTGGACTTGGCTTCCTGCAAGGAGTTCGCCGCCCGCGACCTGGGAGCCAGAGCCCGGTGTAGAAAGTCGTGTTGATGTGGATCCGCAAAGCGCGGGCGATTTCCTCATCACGCCAAGCCCTGCACAGGAGCCGTGGCTACAGGGCTGGCAGGGGTAGCTAGAAGGTGTTTGGAGAGAAGGAAGATGGCTCCCGGGAATGCCAGCACCTGTAGCCCTCCACTTTGATCCCGTCAGAAGCTGGCAGGAGTTTGGGCGGACCTTGGGTCTTCACGACTACACCGTCCCATTTCTGCTGCTGGCAAACTACGCGTGTGTCGCAGCTTGTCTGTAGCTTTGATGGTGAGTGCGGAACGCAGCTCGACTTTTCGGATTCGCGGAAGGCACTGGATCACGCACTTGGCGCGACCGGCGCCCCTCCGGGCTTTGTTCTGGCACAGGTGGCCAGGGCCTAAGGAGGGAGAAGCTTCTGTCAAAGTGGCTTTCTGTTGGCTTCTCGCAGCCTTCCTAGGCCGGCGCAGGAGCATCGCTCCTTGGCAAAGCTCGCGACGGCCCGAGGTGTGCCTTCTGACACCTCTGAGCCCAGGATGTTTGACAGCTCTGCCACTGCCATGGCGCACACTGCTATGCTCTTGATTATGGATCCGGAACATGATTATGAGGACAGATTTGGAGGGACTTTGAGGGTTGACTGTGCTTTGAACTCGAATAGATTTGCAGCAAGAGTTTGCGACCCCCGAAGGATTGTCAATGGCGTTCTGAGCCGTGAAGGGCCATGGGATGCCATGGGTCAATGTGCCCTCTGCCCAGGGCCATGGGTCAATGTGCCCTCTCTGCCCTGTCGAATGCGATCTTTGCAAAGGAGAAAACATGACGTGCCTCTTTGGCCGATGATGCATGCTTTCTGTGAGGACGTTGAGATGCCAGCCGCGCTATTGGAGGATAGGTCGAGATGGGCTATCGGACGGGTGTGGAGTGTTGAGCCATTCGGCTCAAGGTAGCCGTGACTTCGGCTTGGGGCATGTCAAGCTAATCCACGGCATGTCGGGCTAGTTGACGTTGTTTGGCAGTGGCACTCGCTACTGAACTCAGGCAGTACTGATACGTTGTTTGGCAGTGGCAAAATCACGGAGTGAAATTCTGAAAGCTCGCTGCTAAACTCAGGCAGTCTCCGTTGAAAACATGGAAAGTCGAGTTCAGGCCATCCCGAGCTCTTTGTGGCCGGCTGCGCGTCGGCCCTTGGCGCCCTTCCTGGTGCTGGGCGTTGACATTTTGGACGCCTTGGACTTGGCCTCCTGCGAGGAGGCTTCGCCGCCCGCGACCTGGGAGCCAGAGCTCGGTGTGGCTCAAGAACTGGTTGGCGCCAAAGAAAGTCGTGTTGATGTGGATCCGCAAAACGCGCGTTTTGCGGATCCACATCAGCACGACTTTCTCAAGGGCCATCCAGTTCTTGAGCCACACCTGATGATGTGGATCCGCAAAACGCGGGCGATTTCCTCATCACGCCAAGCCCTGCACAGGAGCCTGTGGAAGGTGCTTTCCGGCGGGACGGTGTGTTGCTACAGGGCTGGCAGGGGTAGCCAGAAGGTGCTTGGAGAGAAGGAAGATGGCTCCCGGGAATGCCAGCACCTGTAGCCCTCCACTTTGATCCCGTCAGAAGCTGGCAGGAGTTTGGGCGGACCTTGGGTCTTCACGACTACACCGTCCCATTTCTGCTGCTGGCAAACTACGCGTGTGTCGCAGCTTGTCTGTAGCTTTGATGGTGAGTGCGGAACGCAGCTCGACTTTTCGGATTCGCGGAAGGCACTGGATCACGCACTTGGCGCGACCGGCGCCCCTCCGGGCTTTGTTCTGGCACAGGTGGCCAGGGCCTAAGGAGGGAGAAGCTTCTGTCAAAGTGGCTTTCTGTTGGCTTCTCGCAGCCTTCCTAGGCCGGCGCAGGAGCATCGCTCCTTGGCAAAGCTCGCGACGGCCCGAGGTGTGCCTTCTGACACCTCTGAGCCCAGGATGTTTGACAGCTCTGCCACTGCCATGGCGCACGCTGCTATGCTCTTGATTATTAATCAAGAGCATAGCAGCGTGCGCCATGATGATTATGGATCCGGAAGATGAGGACAGATTTGGAGGGACTTGGAGGGTTGACTGTGCTCTGAACTCGAATAGATTTGCAGCAAGAGTTTGCGACCCCCGAAGGATTGTCAATGGCGTTCTGAGCCGTGAAGGGCCATGGGATGCCATGGGTCAATGTGCCCTCTGCCCAGGGCCATGGGTCAATGTGCCCTCTCTGCCCTGTCGAATGCGATCTTTGCAAAGGAGAAAACATGACGTGCCTCTCTGGCCGATGATGCATGCTTTCTTTGAGGACGTTGAGATGCCAGCCGCGCTATTGGAGGATAGGTCGAGATGGGCTATCGGATGGGTGTGGAGTGTTGAGCCATTCGGCTCAAGGTAGCCGTGACTTCGGCTTGGGGCATGTCAAGCGGATCCATGGCATGTCATGCTAGTTGACGTTGTTTGGCAGTGGCACTCGCTACTGAACTCAGGCAGCATTGATACGCTGTTTGGCAGTGGCAAAATCACGGAGTGAAATTCTGAAAGCTCGCTGCTAAACTCAGGCAGTGCTAATGGTTAGACCAGCAGCTAGAAGGCATCTTTTAAAGCTGCTTCCTTCAGCAAGATGGACATTCGAGTTCAGGCCATCCTGAGCTCTTTTTGGCCGGCTGCGCGTCGGCCCTTGGCGCCCTTCCTGGTGCTGGGCGTTGACATTTTGGATTTTGGACGCCTTGGACTTGGCCTCCTGCAAGGAGGCTTCGCCGCCCGCGACCTGGGAGCCAGAGCCCGGTGTAGAAAGTCGTGTTGATGTGGATCCGCAAAGCGCGGGCGATTTCCTCATCACGCCAAGCCCTGCACAGGAGCCGTGGCTACAGGGCTGGCAGGGGTAGCTAGAAGGTGTTTGGAGAGAAGGAAGATGGCTCCCGGGAATGCCAGCACCTGTAGCCCTCCACTTTGATCCCGTCAGAAGCTGGCAGGAGTTTGGGCGGACCTTGGGTCTTCACGACTACACCGTCCCATTTCTGCTGCTGGCAAACTACGCGTGTGTCGCAGCTTGTCTGTAGCTTTGATGGTGAGTGCGAAACGCGGCTCGACTTTTCGGATTCGCGGAAGGCACTGGATCACGCACTTGGCGCGACCGGTTTTTTCGGGCTTTGTTCTGGCACAGGTGGCCAGGGCCTAAGGAGGGAGAAGCTTCTGTCAAAGTGGCTTTCTGTTGGCTTCTCGCAGCCTTCCTAGGCCGGCGCAGGAGCATCGCTCCTTGGCAAAGCTCGCGACGGCCCGAGGTGTGCCTTCTGACACCTCTGAGCCCAGGATGTTTGACAGCTCTGCCACTGCCATGGCGCACGCTGCTATGCTCTTAATTATGGATCCGGAACATGATTATGAGGACAGATTTGGAGGGACTTTGAGGGTTGACTGTGCTCTGAACTCGAATAGATTTGCAGCAAGAGTTTGCGACCCCCGAAGGATTGTCAATGGCGTTCTGAGCCGTGAAGGGCCATGGGATGCCATGGGTCAATGTGCCCTCTGCCCAGGGCCATGGGTCAATGTGCCCTCTCTGCCCTGTCGAATGCGATCTTTGCAAAGGAGAAAACATGACGTGCCTCTTGGGCCGATGATGCATGCTTTCTTTGAGGACGTTGAGATGCCAGCCGCGCTATTGGAGGATAGGTCGAGATGGGCTATCGGACGGGTGTGGAGTGTTGAGCCATTCGGCTCAAGGTAGCCGTGACTTCGGCTTGGGGCATGTCAAGCTAATCCATGGCATGTCGTGCTAGTTGACGTTGTTTGGCAGTGGCACTCGCTACTGAACTCAGGCAGTGCTAATGGTTAGACCAGCAGCTAGAAGGCATCTTTTAAAGCTGCTTCCTTCAGCGAGATGGACATTCGAGTTCAGGCCATCCTGAGCTCTTTGTGGCCGGCTGCGCGTCGGCCCTTGGCGCCCTTCCTGGTGCTGGGCGTTGACATTTTGGACGCCTTGGACTTGGCCTCCTGCAAGGAGGCTTCGCCGCCCGCGACCTGGGAGCCAGAGCCCGGTGTAGAAAGTCGTGTTGATGTGGATCCGCAAAGCGCGGGCGATCATGTTGTGCATAGTTTTAGCATAAGCTTTCGTGGTTTGCATGTCGAACGTCTAGATAGTTTAGGAATCAAGCAAACTTAAACTTATGCTACTGAATTTAATTAGATAAACTTCAAGTTGTGTTTTATTTTAAATATTCAAATGTTACATAACTATGTATGTTATATGGGTTTTGTTCTAGTAAATAAACTGCTTTAAAACCCGGGACCCGGCGCCGGGCCCCAGTTATATTAGCTGTCTTTTAGATTAGCTTTCGCTGAACTTTAAGCAAAAAAGAACAGCTTAGCTGTAGAGATCATCTCCTGAGTTTACTTAGCAGTGTGCAGCTGTTGTAGTGCTCAGGCGAGGACGACCGGGGCTTGTGTCCGTCAGAGAAGGCCACGTCCACCAAGAGAGGCCCAACACCTTTGGCCAAGACACTAAAGGAACATACTAACAAAGACACTTGTGCGCAGAAAGGGACCAGCACGTAAGCCAAGGCCAGGGCCTGTGTGGCTCAGGCAGATATGTGCCTGCACGAAGAAAAACTGGACCGACGTGAAATGGCATGTCGCACATGAGGGCAGTGGGCAGCACGCGCAAGGGCTTTTTGTGCTCTTCCTGAGGAGTTCGATCACCATCTGCATCAGTCCGACCACCGCGAGAGCGGCCAGAGTGAATTCCTCATCACGCCAAGCCCTGCACAGGAGCCGTGGCTACAGGGCTGGCAGGGGTAGCTAGAAGGTGTTTGGAGAGAAGGAAGATGGCTCCCGGGAATGCCAGCACCTGTAGCCCTCCACTTTGATCCCGTCAGAAGCTGGCAGGAGTTTGGGCGGACCTTGGGTCTTCACGACTACACCGTCCCATTTCTGCTGCTGGCAAACTACGCGTGTGTCGCAGCTTGTCTGTAGCTTTGATGGTGAGTGCGGAACGCAGCTCGACTTTTCGGATTCGCGGAAGGCACTGGATCACGCACTTGGCGCGACCGGCGCCCCTCCGGGCTTTGTTCTGGCACAGGTGGCCAGGGCCTAAGGAGGGAGAAGCTTCTGTCAAAGTGGCTTTCTGTTGGCTTCTCGCAGCCTTCCTAGGCCGGCGCAGGAGCATCGCTCCTTGGCAAAGCTCGCGACGGCCCGAGGTGTGCCTTCTGACACCTCTGAGCCCAGGATGTTTGACAGCTCTGCCACTGCCATGGCGCACGCTGCTATGCTCTTGATTATGGATCCGGAACATGATTATGAGGACAGATTTGGAGGGACTTTGAGGGTTGACTGTGCTTTGAACTCGAATAGATTTGCAGCAAGAGTTTGCGACCCCCGAAGGATTGTCAATGGCGTTCTGAGCCGTGAAGGGCCATGGGATGCCATGGGTCAATGTGCCCTCTGCCCAGGGCCATGGGTCAATGATGGTCAATGTGCCCTCTCTGCCCTGTCGAATGCGATCTTTGCAAAGGAGAAAACATGACGTGCCTCTTTGGCCGATGATGCATGCTTTCTTTGAGGACGTTGAGATGCCAGCCGCGCTATTGGAGGATAGGTCGAGATGGGCTATCGGACGGGTGTGGAGTGTTGAGCCATTCGGCTCAAGGTAGCCGTGACTTCGGCTTGGGGCATGTCAAGCTAATCCACGGCATGTCGGGCTAGTTGACGTTGTTTGGCAGTGGCACTCGCTACTGAACTCAGGCAGTACTGATACGTTGTTTGGCAGTGGCAAAATCACGGAGTGAAATTCTGAAAGCTCGCTGCTAAACTCAGGCAGTCTCCGTTGAAAACATGGAAAGTCGAGTTCAGGCCATCCCGAGCTCTTTGTGGCCGGCTGCGCGTCGGCCCTTGGCGCCCTTCCTGGTGCTGGGCGTTGACATTTTGGACGCCTTGGACTTGGCCTCCTGCGAGGAGGCTTCGCCGCCCGCGACCTGGGAGCCAGAGCTCGGTGTGGCTCAAGAACTGGTTGGCGCCAAAGAAAGTCGTGTTGATGTGGATCCGCAAAACGCGCGTTTTGCGGATCCACATCAACACGACTTTCTCTAGGGCCATCCAGTTCTTGAGCCACACCTGATGATGTGGATCCGCAAAACGCGGGCGATTTCCTCATCACGCCAAGCCCTGCACAGGAGCCTGTGGAAGGTGTTTTCCGGCGGGACGGTGTGTTGCTACAGGGCTGGCAGGGGTAGCCAGAAGGTGCTTGGAGAGAAGGAAGATGGCTCCCGGGAATGCCAGCACCTGTAGCCCTCCACTTTGATCCCGTCAGAAGCTGGCAGGAGTTTGGGCGGACCTTGGGTCTTCACGACTACACCGTCCCATTTCTGCTGCTGGCAAACTACGCGTGTGTCGCAGCTTGTCTGTAGCTTTGATGGTGAGTGCGGAACGCAGCTCGACTTTTCGGATTCGCGGAAGGCACTGGATCACGCACTTGGCGCGACCGGCGCCCCTCCGGGCTTTGTTCTGGCACAGGTGGCCAGGGCCTAAGGAGGGAGAAGCTTCTGTCAAAGTGGCTTTCTGTTGGCTTCTCGCAGCCTTCCTAGGCCGGCGCAGGAGCATCGCTCCTTGGCAAAGCTCGCGACGGCCCGAGGTGTGCCTTCTGACACCTCTGAGCCCAGGATGTTTGACAGCTCTGCCACTGCCATGGCGCACGCTGCTATGCTCTTGATTATTAATCAAGAGCATAGCAGCGTGCGCCATGATGATTATGGATCCGGAAGATGAGGACAGATTTGGAGGGACTTGGAGGGTTGACTGTGCTCTGAACTCGAATAGATTTGCAGCAAGAGTTTGCGACCCCCGAAGGATTGTCAATGGACTTCTGAGCCGTGAAGGGCCATGGGATGCCATGGGTCAATGTGCCCTCTGCCCAGGGCCATGGGTCAATGTGCCCTCTCTGCCCTGTCGAATGCGATCTTTGCAAAGGAGAAAACATGACGTGCCTCTTTGGCCGATGATGCATGCTTTCTTTGAGGACGTTGAGATGCCAGCCGCGCTATTGGAGGATAGGTCGAGATGGGCTATCGGACGGGTGTGGAGTGTTGAGCCATTCGGCTCAAGGTAGCCGTGACTTCGGCTTGGGGCATGTCAAGCTAATCCACGGCATGTCGTGCTAGTTGACGTTGTTTGGCAGTGGCACTCGCTACTGAACTCAGGCAGTACTGATACGTTGTTTGGCAGTGGCAAAATCACGGAGTGAAATTCTGAAAGCTCGCTGCTAAACCCAGGCAGCCTCCGTTGAAAACATGGGCAGTCGAGTTCAGGCCATCCTGAGCTCTTTGTGGCCGGCTGCGCGTCGGCCCTTGGCGCCCTTCCTGGTGCTGGGCGTTGACATTTTGGATGCCTTGGACTTGGCCTCCTGCAAGGAGGCTTCGCCGCCCGCGACCTGGGAGCCAGAGCCCGGTGTGGCTCAAGAACTAGAAAGTCGTGCCGATGTGGATCCGCAAAACGCGGGCGATTTCCTCATCACGCCAAGCCCTGCACAGGAGCCTGTGGAAGGTGTTTTCCGGCGGGACGGTGTGTGGCTACAGGGCTGGCAGGGGTAGCCAGAAGGTGTTTGGAGAGAAGGAAGATGGCTCCCGGGAATGCCAGCACCTGTAGCCCTCCACTTTGATCCCGTCAGAAGAAGCTTGTGTCAAAGTGGCTTTCTGTTGGCTTCTCGCAGCCTTCCTAGGCCGGCGCAGGAGCGTCGCTCCTTGGCAAAGCTTGTGCCTTCTGACACCTCTGAGCCCAGGATGTTTCACAGCGCTGCCGCTGCCATCGCGGGCGCTGCTATCGACTTGCTTGATCGGCAAAATCTAGACAGATATTGCCGATCAAGCAAGTCGATTGCAGCGCCCGCGATGGCAGCGGCAGTGGACAGATTTGGAGGGACTTGGAGGGTTGTGCTTGAACTCGAATAGATTTGCAGCAAGAGTTTGCGACCCTCGAAGGATCGTGAAGCGCGTGCGCCGTGACTTCTGTAGAAGCATGTCGAAGCTGAAGGGCCATCAACAGACACAGCTAGCGAGGCGCCACGGCCAGAAAATCGTCCAGAGCTACCCCGGATGGTGCAGAATCACTACTTTTTGGAACAGCGCGACAGACACATGACAGAGGCGGTTGCGGCAATGCTGGCATAGACTTTGAGCTGGCAGCCACGCTGTGAAATTCCGCAGATCTCTGCAAAAGCACGAAGAGAAGCTTCAGAGGGAGACCCTGAAGTAGCTGTTGTTCGACCTCGGCAGCTTCAAAGAGCTTACATTCCCCTCATGGCGATTTCTGCGGTGCAAGACTTGGACTTTGCTGGGTGCAACAATGCTGACCGGTGCCGAGTTTCCGGAAGCAAGAAGCTTTGGAATTGACTCAAAAAGTGTGGTCCAATGTTGGCCGAACACTCGTGGTGTTGTTGCAGGATGCAGGACACGACACTCGAAATGTTTGGCTCTTTCAAATCGACGGCCTCGTGATGCTCCTGCAGAGCTCAAGCTGTTGCGCTGTCCCAGCCGACGGACAACCCACGGCCTAAAGTCACACCTGTGGATGCTTCGCTTGTCGTCCATATTCTCATGTTTGTGAGTAGAGTCAATATCGTAGCCGTGTTGTTCATCATGCCCTGAAGTTTGTTCCTATTTCTTAGCGTTCCGAGGGGCCGAGGCACGATTACAGCCTGCATCCCGAGCCTTGAGCCCAAAACCCGAAACCGAAACACCAGGGCTGCTGTGCTTAAAGCAATGCCCTCGGCGCCTGCGACAAAGTGCGAGGCCGTTCCCCTGGGATAAGGCCTGTATAGGGGCCGAAATAATTGCTTATAAGATTCCGTCAGTCTGCAAGCGCATAGTCACATGCACTTGCCGGCAAAATCATATAGATGAATAGGTAGTTAAGCTAAGAACACGGAGCACGGGTGCCAGAAACACCGACAGACTTACTGCACGATCTAAACCAGGCCTGCGATCTCATGCCCTGTGAGGTCAATGTCTCGGAGCATCATACTCGCATCGAATAAGACGACGGCCAGCCTTACAGCAAGTTCAGAGCTTCGGTGAACAGCAGAAACACGAGTGCGCAATTCCAGACTAGCCTGAAGGCCAATGCAGTTGAAGTAGACATGCTTAATCCGTCCCTCGTTCTTCACGGCTATAGCCTGCAGTACCAACATGCTCTCACCTCCCCGCCAAGGCCCAAAGCATAGGCTGGCCCTGGTGGTCGGGGGGGCTGAATTCGCTCCCTATGCCCCGGAGAAGACGAGTATGAATACAACTACACACTCTACATACTTGGAACGAGGTTTTTTGGGTGATACTTCTACCATAACTATAATCAGGAACCCCCAAGTAGTATCGGTAGTTATATATAATACAACGCAGATCAGGTGCCATGCCCTGGGAGACCTTGGGTGCACCGAGTGCCATTTTCGAGCTCCCGGGAAACAAGGCGCCAGTGGGTTGGGATTCTGCGCGGGCGGCCTTCGTTGAGGGTGCTTGTCCTTTTCCTCCCTCCGTCGCGAGGTTGTTGTTTCATGCCTAGCCTCGTGCCTGCTGCCAGGAATGTGCGGACTGCAAAGCTTACGGTCCGAACTGGGCATCATGGAATCTCGGGATCCTGGTTTGCACAACCTGCCGCTCGTCTGTTGCGGTAGTCCATGGGTCTTGTTGACGTGTTCTTGGCAGAGCTTCAGGCAACTTTACTGGTGCCGAGAAGAAAACAGCAGCCACGGGCTCCCCCGTTCGATGGTTTTAGGGGTTCCTTTAAAGGGATCTGTAGGGTACTATCAATATATCTATATATCTATATGTATATATATATATATATATATATAATATCTCTCTCTCTATCTATCTATCTATCTATCTATCTATCTATCTATATATATATATATATAGGGGTATGTCACCGCATGGAAGATTCCGCCGAGGCTCCGGAGTGCATCGACACCTCGGGGTTCACATCTCGAAGGTGCTCTGCACTGCTGGCAGGGGCGACAGTACAGCTCTCACGGCTCCACAGCCTGGCCTGTCGCATGGAGCTTCTCGAGCTGTTTTCCTGCAATCCTGAAAGCTGAGCGTCTGATTGCGACAGTCCTGTCTTCGGACTTCAGAGACGGCAGGTCAAATCTGCTACCATGGACAAATGGAAGGAGGAGCAGGTGCGCAAGACAGCCGCGATCGGGGTGATCTAGCATGGGACCTTCCGAGCGACTTCCAAGTGATGGCTCCGCAACTGTAAGGACCTAAAGTCTAGACTAGGACAACCTAAGTGAGCCGCCGAGTCTTCTTGGGTTCCAGAGGCCCTCCCGTGCCTCACCATCGGCAACGAGCGCTCCAACGCCTACTACGAGTGTCCTGGCGAGGTGGAGTATAATCTGTCGTTCCGCCCGACGAGAACACAGCGTCGCGGGAACCTTTGAAAGGGAATGACATGGAACTTAGGTACAATGTCCCGGCCGGTGCCAAATACATCTGCAAGTCGCAAGCCGCCGCAGGCCTTCCTGCGAATTACTGGCCTCTGCAGCATTCGGCTCATCATCTCTCGGTCTGGGTGGGAGTGACAGGCGACAAGATCGACCCAGTGGAGGCCCGGAAGATGGAGCGCTGGATCCGCCGCTGCCTTGGCGAAAGGTGTTTGGCATTGGATTAGCTGAAAGCTTTCAAGGGCGTGCTGCCCTCGCATCTCTTGCGAGAGTCAAAACGAAAGCATCATGTTGGAATCCTGCCGGCGCCCGGTGCAGAGCAGACAGAGCAAATTTGGGAGTGCAGCTGCAACCTGTCCTGAGTGACTTGCTGCTCTCGTGTTACATCTCTCGGGCCACACCATGCCAGAGTCGCGGATCCTGACAAAGAAAGCTACATTTCCCAAAGTTGTGCCGCAAGGGTGCAGCTGCCTTCCCAAACCGACCTCGGCCCCTGTGGCCCCCTTACATGGCAAAGCATAAGTTGAGGTGCGAAGTACGAGACCAAGAAGTATGCGCAACCCGGTGTCGATCCGCCACATGTCCGTTTGGCTCGAGGTGGGAAGAAATTTCATAGCAGCCTTATAACCATAGAACATGACAAAGCATTCTAAAATCAAAAGGCTCACGAGTAGGGAGGAGCAAGGACAGGTATCTTTTTTCTCCTGGAGAGCAGCAACCTTGTACTAGCCTGGAGAGGCGAGTCGTTGACCGGCGGCGCTGAGACCCAGGCAAAGCCGGAGAAGACCGAGGAGGCTCGAAAATCTTCTGCCAGGACATAAATTCAGGACTATTAAGACTATAGCGCTATCATCCCAATATATCCCAATAGCATTTATACTGTTTGTAGTGGCTAGCACTGGTCAGGGGTATTCAGATCTTAGACTTGGTGGAGTGTTCCCCTCTCTCGTCAGCAGTACAAAGTGGCGTGAGCAACATTACGCGCAGGTGGACGCATCTCCTCTGAGCGAGAAGAGCGACAAGGATAGAAAGGACAAAAAAGAGAAGAAGGAGAAGAAGGACAGCAGGAAGGAAGTCAAGGAAGGGAAGAAGGATAAGAAGGACAAAAAGAAGAACGCAGAGGCGCACTTGGGTCTTACATCGTTGATGGGTCTTACATCGTTGATGTTTCTGAGCTTGTGGAGGACTGCGAGGATGCAACACGTAGCTGGCGGAATCCTTTGCTCGAATTCTCTTTTGGACGAAGAAGCCCAAGCTTCGAAAGGGGCAAAGAGCTTTAAAGTTTGCCTCCCCCTTTACACCCATCATCTCTTTCGGGAGTGAGTGTTGCCCACTTTGTCGTCCTGCAGCGTAGACAGGAGTCGCCTTCCAAAAGCTCGCCAAAGAAAGAGAGATCCTCGGCTGGAGAGCTATGCAGCTACACCCTGGACCCGGACCAGCAAGTAGTAGTCGCACGTAATGTTAGTACTCATAGTCGTACTCGTACTCGTACTCGTCGTCGTAGTAGTAGTTGTAGATGCAGGAGGAGACGGAGTAGTAGGACCAGGAGGAGTAGCAGCAGGAGGCTGAGGAGTAGTATCACCAGCAGCAGTAGTAGTGTTTTCGGTGGTGCTGTGGCCACTACGGTGGCGTTGCCGGTGTCGTTGGCGTTGCTTTGTTGTTGTTGTTGTTGTTGTTGTTGTTGTTGTTGTTGTTGTTGTTGTTGTTGTTGGCAGCACTTGCGTCTGCCGCCGCGCGGGGTGGTGCGATTTCTTTGCTGGCATGTGCTGAAACTCGAGTCTTGCGTTTTGCTCACCTTGAATTGCAGTTGCGTTTTTTTTTTTTTTGGTACGGGTTGTTGAGGTGTTTTCTAACAAAAAATTGTGCCAGCCGACGAGCTACACTTTACAAAGACGTGCTAAGCTCTCCATTTCGCATCGTTTTTTTTCTGTGTTTTCCTATGTGTCTCGCATTTCGCTTAAGTTTTTACGGTGTTTGCACATGCCAGCTTAGACTTGCATTTGTCTTTCAGCTCTGTGCGGGGGGTGGGGGGGGGGGGATGCGGGGGTGATGACGTCCATGCGAATGCGGCTTGTGTCTTCTGTTTCTTTTGTTGTGTTACTTCTCAAACGCTGCTCTGTGAAGCCCTTGTTGCCGCTTCTTGTTGCTTCACTTTTGAAGTGTCAACGATGCAATAACCTCGGGTTTTTGAAACTTTCCTGACAAAAACTTTGCAACTGATCCTGAACATGGACAACAATCAAAGACGAAAAGCATGGTATTTGCGTCACTTCCGCAAAAACCTCATCAAACAACAAGCCAACCTACTATGGAAAAAAACCCGAAACATCGTCGTCTTCACGAAAACCACAAGGACCTCCAAAAAATGGCACGTGCTGCTTTGTTGTTGTTGTTGTTGTTGTTGTTGCTGCTGTTGCTGTGTTGTTGTTGTTGTTGTTCTTGTGGTGTGGTTGTTACTTTCGCTGTTGTAGTTGCAGCCGTTGGCTCTGTCGTATTCATGGTGGGGAACAAGCAGAAGCACAAACATGAACAGGAAACGGACTAGACTTCAAACACGAAGCTATCGGGTTATTTAGCGGTAGTTGTACGAAGGCAGCAGCCAGAAGCATCATCGTGATGTTGCTACCAGTGCTTGTCACAGACAGTGCGCTGATGATGGTGAAGTGAAGAAGCTCAAGGTAGTAACGCTGAGGAGCCCGAAGATGAAGATCAATGCCGAGCCAATGATGATGCCGGTAAGAGAAGATGGTGATACAGCATATTCCGCCAATCTCGCATGAACATTCCTCTGCTAGCCCATCATGTGATCATCCTAGCTGACAGAAGAATCTGTCCAAAGTACTTGTAAGTTCTGGCTGCAACGGCTGAGCTGCTCGCATTCAGCTGCCTCAGTAAAGGATAATATCTCCAACTAACTGCAGGCAAAGGCAAAAGCCACGAAGCCTTTGTGGAAGCGGAGGCGGCTTGAAATGTCCCTCCAACATCATGAGGGGAATGAGCCTCGATGAGCAGCATGGAGAAAGGGAGTGATTTCCAAGTTCATCCTCCTGGGCGCATTTTACAGCAGCGAGATGCGTACTGCAATACATTTCAGAAATCGAGAGTCTGGAAACTCCACCTGCGGATGTCGCATCTCTCCTCGCCAAAACATTGGACTGCTGGTTTGCAAGTGCTACTTTCATTGATGCTGCCATTATTACTCCTACCATGCTGACAAGGGCGATGACGACGACCACCACGACCACGTGCAGTAGCAGCTGCTACTACCACCACTACTTGCTACCTGCTGTTTCCTGCTTGAATCTTGATGCTGGCTACTACTTGCGACGATATACTGGGACATGTTTAGTGTTCAGAACAATCTCGGTTTGTTCAGACCACTATTGTGTCCGAGACTTCAGCCCGAGCTTGGGTCCCTTAAAGGAACCTTTATAGAACCCTGAAAGACCCTTTACAGGTACTCTCGGGATCTATACTAGGGTTCCCTTGATAGAACCCATAATAACAATCCACACCAATACCCCCCATAGAAACACCATATTCCCCAACCTCAAACCCCTAACCCTAGAGAATGGAAATGGTATCCACAAAAAGAATCTATAACAGGAATAAGGTTTAGGGATAAGGTAGGAACAAGAAACAAGAAGAACAGTATTTCAACAAAATAATCCTAATATTGGTTTTCTATTAGGCTTGACTAGTTTCAGTGGGTTTAGGGTTGAGGTATAGGTTGTTGTGGTTTGGGTGCTAGGGTGTGGTGCATGGTTAGAAAATAGTTGCTAACATATAATGGGTACTATAGGGCTCCACAATGGGGCCCTCCTTTACAGGAACCCTTAACACCTCTTACAGAGTTCTTGAAGTAGCCCTCAAAGGACTCCCTTAAAGGTCCCCTTTAAAGGGATCCTTTTAAAGGATCCCTTTGAGGGTCAATGGGCTCCCCTTCAAAGGGTATTTTAGGGTGTTCCCTTTAAGGGGTACTATAGCATAATGGGCCTTCCTTTAGGTTACAAAATTGGATTTCCTTTAAGGGTTTAGGGTTTAGGGTTTAGGGTTACTAAATGGTCCCTCTAAAAAGGGACCAGGGCTCCCTCGCCAGGCCTCCTTCGCGGCTTTGGGAAGCTGGGCGGCAGATGCCTCGGCCAGCGCCTCGCCGGAGCGGAAGGAGTGAACGCAGCATCTCTTTAGGTCAAGATATATTATGTTATATCGTATATTATACTATAATGTATTTTCTTGTATCATATGTTATTATACCAAAAAATCTGAATATATACATATACGCACTGTTGCAGTCTATTGTATTGTATTGTACTGTATTGTATTTTATTACATTACATATTAACTGGGGCTCAGCGGTTTAGGGTTAAGGATTGGGGTTTGGAGTGTAGTGGTTCAAAGTACGATCTACAAGGGCCAAGGGTTCTCTGAGGGCTTGTATAAGGGTGCCAAAATTCCACGACGTCTTATCAGGGTTTTAAGTTTCGTAAAGTTTTGTCATGGCTTTACCAAGGCTCAATAAAAGTCGTACAGGGTTGTATTCATGTATGTATGTATGTGTGTGTGTGTGTGTGTGTGTGATTGTGTGTGTGTTGCAGTTTAAAGTGTAATTGCAATGTGTAACGTTCAATGTAATATTCGCGCAACGTAATGCAATGTAATGTAAGGCATTTTATGGATGACAGTGGATGATGGATGGATGGATGGATGGATGGATGGATGGATGGATGGATGGATGGATGTACTCATGCATGTCGCGTCATTGCCGTTGATGCCGTTGTTTTCGTTCATTGTTGCTGTTGTTGTCCTTTCAGAGAAGTCGACAACACTCCTGATATCAAGACAAGAGACGGCGGTGGCTTTGCAGACCAGGGTTTTGAGGTTCCTGTGAGGCTTCCAAGAAGCTGGATGTACCCGTCTTGGACACCGTCCGCTTGTAACGCGAGTAGTAATGTGCGATAGCTGTAACTGCAGCAGGAGAGAAAGAAGAGTCGAAAGAAGCGGCTGGCTTCCTCCACAGCTGAGGAGTGCGACACCTCACCTGTAGCATGCAGAGTAGGTTCGTGTGCAGGTCCGGCAAGAAGTCGAAGCGGATCAATAACACCACGCGCATGGCACATGATCACCACACCCCCTGCAAAGGACGCTGGATTCAACACGGGTGAAGGAGTGGAATGCTGCTGTCACCAGCCTCTCCTGGTTCGTAGGCAGCCACTGCGACTTCCAGGTTCTCCGTTCTCTCCTTCTCCCGTGACATCGCCGGAGCATCAAGCGCATCCTGAGTCTCTGCTCATTGGGCCACAGCTCGGTGCATCCATGTGCCCGCTTCGCATCTGCAGCGAAGCATCCACCCAGGATGGAGCTTTCGGTGGAGCCGGTTATGATGCGCAGACCTCTGGTTATGCCGGCTACGACTTGGGACAAACTTCTCAAGGGCCTGGTGCTCATGTTCTGCGACAACTTGCGAAGCCGTCGACGCTGAGTGCATGGCAACTGTTCCCAGGTACCCCAATGGCCATACGGCAGCGTGGGCTGATTCGGGCGTTTCCCAGATGGAGCACCTGGGATGCAGACTCCACGAAGAACGCTGCTCTTGCCGTGCTCAGTCTCTCAGGCCTTCGCCGGAGGCCGCAGGTGCGCTTCTCGGGGCTTCACACATGAGAGGATGCAGCGTGCTACCAAAAGGGAACGTGAAGTTTGGATGCACCGAGCATGAGCAAGACCGGACACTGCGCAGACACGTCCTCCGAGCGCCGCGCGGCGCTGCAGACTTTGGCAGGCGAAGAGTTGGGTTTGCTGGGAGCCGGAAGTGTGTCGGGTGTGGTGAAGCAACAAAGTGAGAGGCCTCTTCGTGCAGCCGGAAAGCTTCGTCCCAGGAGGTGTAGAGCTCTGTGCTCCGCACGGCTTTGACCTCCAGGCGGGCTCGGGCTCGGATGGTGATTTGATTCCAGACTCGAGATCCGACACTGAGGCCGCGGAATTCAACCCTTTCGCGTTGGCTCGGCCACGCCATGGGGCAGGTCGGGGAGGTCCGGAGTGTAGCTCGTGGAATTTTGACCAACAGTGCGCAAGGGGCCGGGCCAGGGCCAGCAGCAGGCCGGAAGCTAAGCACAGACAACTTTGAGTAGATGGAGCAGACATGCTGGGAGACGATGTCCTAGTATCCGAAGCATTCTGAAGCCAGGTGCCGTCGACACACACCCTTTGCTTCCGTCGTATTAGACTCTCAGTTCTCCTGCGGCCTTCTGCATCTCGCGCCGCGCCGTTGGGAAACTCAGCTCTCGAGCCAAAAGGGGGGCCGGGCAGGGCAGGGGCCAAGCGGCTATCCCAAAGCTCAGAGGCTAAGCGCCAAGACATGGGGTGCCGAAAGTCCTATAGACAGTGGCTGCAATGTAGGAAGGTGCAGGGATCAACTTCACCCCGACAGCTGAGCGAACAACATCCGTCAGGTCAATTCCACAACTTGCAGGCTAGCAGCTAGCAAGCAAGCGCAAGTGCTACCAACATCCCGGCCAGCTCCGGGCCTATCGCTCCAGCGCTGAGGTGCGGAGTGCAGGAGGGTGGCGCATCGGTTTGCATCTCTCAGATCCACAAACTCCAGGCCGCTCGGATAGCGATGGGACGGAGCCGCAGTCGCAGCCAAAGCCGAGGCCATGCCGAACCGAGGTGTCTCTTCAGGGCTCTTCGGTTCAAGTTTCAGCTTCTCCCTCGTGAGCCTTGCGACTGAAGCCGCCTGTCACAGATGTATCCAGTCGGTCACATCATGTAGCATGTGTTCACAAGGGTTCGAGAGTTACCTTATATCCCAACCTTGACTTCTTTGCCACCAGAGTCACCTTTGAGCGATTGGGAAGGACGGAGCGGTTCGAGGCCACGTGGTGGTGGGGGCGGGGGCAAGCGCAACTTGCCAGAAAGGTCGTAACGAGGCCTGGTGTGATGTGTCAAGACACAGAGTAGTTACAGCGTTGTAAAGCTGCTGGAAAATCTGTCAAGACGGAATCTGCCAAGGTGAGAAGGGCACGATCAACACTTGGAACAACGACCGCCAGTTCGGCTTCGTCTCTTGCGACTCCGGCCGTGGCTCGCTCGCACCCAGCAGAGTCGTTTTCTCCTCAGATTCATGCTGTGTCGCTGTGTCGCTTTGTCTGAAGCCGACATGGCCTCGAAGGGTCCTTGTGCCACCCCAGGCCAGGATCTCTTCACTCATGCGGAGTACATCACAGATGCGTGGATGCACAAGCCATAAGCTGCTCTGGTACCGTAGCTTTTCATGTAGAACTGCCGACAGATTCGGCAGTGATGCAGGCTGAGATGCAGTTGCGAGTCATACTGCTGCAAGCTGGCTAAGGGAATCGGGAGGGTGAGCCACCGGCCGCAGGATGCTCTGAACTCTCTGCTTGCCTCAGTTCCCTTCAGGACACGAACCAGCGATACGATGCGAAGACGCGCGGCCTGCGTCGCGGAGACAGGCGGGGCCCGGCCCATGGGAGTCCCAAAAGGAGTGCGCTGCGCATTTTCATAGAATCTTTCTACTCTTTCGCTCTTGAGGATATCGTTCGAAGTGGAGGAGCCGCAGGGCAGCAAGAAGAGCATGCAGGCTGGACCACTGGACTCTGGGCCTGCCACGCCGCAGCGTGAGGAGTCAGGAAGAGAATGTAAAAGACGTGCCTGCAGTAGTCCGCCAGAGATAAGCTTTCGGGATGCTGGCTCTCTCTAGAGTCACTTGTCGCGAGGCTGTGAATGTCGAAATGTTAGATCTCGTGTGGCACTTGGCATGCTCTGTCTCTGGCGGATCTTCGGTGCTTTCGTTTGCAGCAGCTGCATGCGTGTCTCTCCTTCGCATAGCATGATACATTGCTGTCAAGATCTGTCAAGGATGCAATTTCACCGGTCTTGTGAGCTGGGTTTTTTGAGGTGAAGCGCTCGCGTTCTCCAAGCCGCCGACGCAGCCGCAGCCGGCGCCGCCGATCCAGGAGGGGCCCAGAATTTCTCAGATTGGCCGCACGCATTCTTCAACTCCCCGAGCTTTAAGCCTTAAGCTACCAAAGACCTAGAACTTAGATCTCCGAAGGTCAGGAGGTCGAGGTGGGGGCCGTGGCGGCGGTCGGCCACCAAATCGACCGCCCCTTGAGCAGCGAGCGAGATCCTTACTTTCAGCTCGGAGGGTTTCGGAAGATCTAGGTGATTCCACTTTGGTGATTCCGGCTTGTGGTCTCTGCACTGAGGCAGGAGACTGGGAATGTCCATCATGTGGCGATTATAACTTTGCAAGGCAGGAACATCGAGCGCTGCAGATGCTTGCACAGCTCCCACCGATTTCAGGGAGGCTATTTGGAATGGAATGACTGTGACAAACCGTGTTCGCCATGCCAGAGTTATCCACAAAGACAGGCTAGTCGAGGGGTTCGGGAGAGGCAGAGCGTGGGGGAGCAGCAAGTTTCATGATGTCCAGGAGCTGCATCCCAAGCAAGCGAGATATCACCTGGCTCACGGTCTGGGCAGGAACACCGAGTGCCGCAAGTGCGGTGCCCCGAAACCCCGCTCCAACCGCGATGATTCGCGTGGACGCGGCCGCGAACGCCGCGACTCCCGTGCAAGGCGCGGGGATTGTGGTTGCAGTGAGTCGCTGACTTGGGGAGTTGGGACATGTTGGGACGGCGGCACGTGGCAGGCGCCGGTCTTCTTCGACCCGCTCGAACTGAGGAAGGCTTGCCTCTCAGGTCATGTGTTGCCTAATGAGTTTGGGATATTTGAGTTTCCACAAGTGTTTCGGGGATCCACCGTGAATGTGACGTAGATTACTTGAGTTTAAATACAATTCATGCTCTTACCAAGCCTTCGGTTCTGATCAAAATCCATAGTTGTGGCCATCTGTAGCCTCAAGCCGTGGTCAGGCGTGGGTGAGCGGCGATTTGATGACCAATCGCGCTTGAGCTGTGCCTGATGTGAACGTCACAGCTGAACTGTACGAGCTCGGAGGGTTATTCGGCCGTTGGTAGATGTTGGTAGTCTATCAAACGACATGGTTGTGAACAGGTCTATCTACGACACTCTACTTTGCGATGTTACGTTATGTGTGCATACCACTCAGTTAACTTGCATCAGGGTTCGGGGTCCAAGGTTTCCGGCCTATCAGTGGAGATAAGGATTGGTACTGGGTGTTTCTGAGAGTCTCGCGCGGAGCAGTCAAAAGCAAGGCGTTCCGGCCCTTTGCACTCATGTTAAGCCAGGAGCACCCACCATACCAGACAAGGGCACGCATTTTGCGAGCAGGCTGGCTGCATCCAAGCGAACCAGGAGGCCCCTCCCCAGGGCCAACAGCTTCCTCCTGGTTTGTTTCATGCTCTGGCAAACGCCTGAACCAGAGTCCCAGCAGAGTCCTGGAGACTTGACCGACTTGACCTGGTCGAGGCTTCGGCACAGCGGACATCTCGGCCGTGTCAGGCCACTGAATCCAAGCCAGCAATTCAACCGGCGACGCTAGGGAGTCCATGGGACGAAGGCTGGAACGGCTCCTTGCCGACGGCAAGGCGAGCTGAATCTTGACTTCCATCTGCGAGCTCTAGGACCCTCGGATCAGCAAAGTGCAGCATTCGCCCTTCGCTGGCCAGGACGGCAGCCGGTGAAAGCGCTGAGAAGGCCGCCAACACCCTGTTTGCGCGGCTGGCGTCACTTCGCAGCGTGTGTACCTGTCAGGACGGAGGACGGGAGGAGATCGAGCGCCTTCAGGCAGCCCTGAGAGCCGCGCGTGTTGCAGGGGTGAGTCGAGCAGCAGCGTTCACTGTTTGCATCAGCTTCCCAAGCTGCGGCCACTGCGATATACAAGGCGGAGCTGGGCAATCTGCGCGAGATGATGGCCGAGCTTCGTAAGGTGCGCAGAGAGACGGCGAGCGAAGGGACCGCCGAAGCTGCCTTTTTGAGTTTTGAGGACCAGCAGCAAGTCAAAGAACACCAGGCGCAACCCGCTGCCTCGGGGTGTATGTAGCTGCCTGCGGTCTACGTCCGTAGACACTTTTAGGCTAAAACTTGTAGGGTCATGATGAAAGAAAGAGAAGGAGGAGGGAGTCAAGATGCATCTCTTATTCTGTTTCATGTTGACCACCTTTTGTGCGATTGTGGCAATTGCTTCTGTTTGCTGGGGCCGGCCATGCTTTGCTGTTTTCCGCCCTGCGATGTTGCTGGATTGCTCACATGATTCCTTCAAGTCATTGCCAACTCCGAAGCCCGAAGCCCCCTCCCCCCGTGAAAAGAAAAAGCAAAGCTGAACAGGAGACCCTGGGCACCACACTCTCCAGCCTCAAAGACAAAGACAGGGATGACGCCGCCTCCTTAGTCGCGAGCTGGGGGCGACAACCTATGACTAAGGAAGAATGCGAGACTGGTACGAAGAGCGTAGTCTAGTTGGTTTCGTTTCTGTCGTGGATGGACTGTCCAAACGAAACAAGTTACCAGGGTCGGCTGAGGCTGCTTTGCAGGACTTGGGGTGCCTTCACCGTTGTAAGTATGGTTAGCTTGCTGCCTTTCTGCGCCCAAACCATAGATTGCCGTACCTCTGCACGACCACTTCGTTCGTGTTGCATAATTCCGTAAATGTCAACTTGGACCTTTTGGCTTCGCGCACTGGCTCAGCCTCATAGGAGGGCCTTGCTGACCTGGTGCCAGGAAACCCTAAACCCTTCAGGGAACCCTTATGGATCCCTTGTAGGAACCCTTAATGGAACCCAAATTATGGTAACCAAAATTCATTCCAATTCCAGTTCCTCTCCTTGGCTGTGGCTGTGCTTTCTGAGGAGGTTCTGGAGTGGTGGGAGGCTTCCCCAGGCCGAGCTTTCAGGTTGACGCAGCGTCTTTTCGCATTGCTGCTTGCCTTGCCTCGTTTTTGTCTTAGCAGCAAGCTGTCTGTGGTGATACGGTAGCCGCGGCAAAAGCAGCAGCAGGAGTAGCAGGAGGAGCAGCGGGAGCGGCAGCAGCAGCAGCAGCAGTGGCGGCAGAACCTGTGCATGAGCTATACCAGTTTCAGAGTGCTACTACAGTAACACTACACTGCTGCTGTTGCTGCTGCTGCTGCTGCTCCTGCTCCTGCTCCTGCTCCTGCTACTGCTACTGCTACTGCTACTGCTACGACGATGATGCTGATGTTGAGCTGCACTGGTGGTGACGACAATAGCAACAGTGCACTGATGGTATGATGGTGATGATGATGCTGAGGATGAGTATGAGGATTTTCAGTCGGTGCTGACAGTGATATTGATTGGGGTTGTTGTTTTGAAGGTGTTTTCCGTCACCACAGCAGGTGCAGCCAAATCATAACAATTGTTTATCACGGACACCAGGACAAGCGAAAGTGATGCTTGCGAGGAAAAAGTTGTGCGGAGTAGTGGTACTGGAGACCGTCGCTTTCACGCTTGGCAGGCCCAAGCCCGGCCTCCCGTCTGACACGGCCGGAGCATGGACCCCAAGAGCCCGAAATTACGTTGGTATATCATGGTATGTCGACGAGGGTGTCGGTGTGTGTATGTGTGTTCCGGGTTTGACGACGGATTGCTTCTAGCGGGATCTGTGCTAGGCCGGGAAATGTCTGACAGTTCTTTTCACGGTGAAGCCCATTTAAAGAGAACTGCGCAGGATTTGCATCTCTGCAGTCTGATACCGAGGCCGACGGAGGCAGCTGCAGGACTGCCATCCTCATGCTGAACTGAAATAGTGAGCTACAATTACTGTACCACATCGCAGTAGTAGAAGCATTCGTTCAGCCGCAATCATGCTAATGAACGTTTTGATCTCCTGCTGCTGCATTGGTTGGGTTCTTCTTCTTGCCGTGAGCGTGAAGATCCTTCATGTGGTCAACGAAACACAACGCCACTTCTGTTGCCACAGCTACTATTTTGCTGCTACTGCCACTACTACTTCCACTCCTGCTACTACTACTACTACGACGACGACGGACGACTACCACTACCACTGCGACGACGACTACCACTGCTGCTGCTACTCTGCCGCACGTACAAGGACCTTTGCAGATTCACGGGCAAATCGAGAAGATCCTCACGTTGCTTCAGCGGCATCCCGGCGACAGCTTCTACGTCTTGTTACAACTGCATCATAAACAGGATGGACGCTGTACTTGTACTTCACCCCATGCCACCATGCGGCTTGCTTGAGCAGCCTGCTGAAGGCAGCAAGAACAGCAGCAAGTGCTCCTGCACTCTCAGCGGAAGTTGGAGAGCAAGCAGCACCAGCTTCTGGGCCGAACTGAGAGCCGCTTGAGCGGCCTTGTCGACTCGGATCTGGTCGGCGGATGTCGGCGGTATCGCTTGCATCTTAGGCTCTACACGCCATCTCCGGCCGTGCACCAAGCACAACCGGCGGCAGTGGAAAGCGTGTTCGTGCATCTGCGCCAGTGGGTTGAAGTTGTTCTTGCCATAAGTTTTTTCAGCATGACGTGTGTCTTTATTCGGTGCCATTGGGTTCGTGTTTGTCAGAGTTGACACGGTGAGTCTGCCCGGCTTTCAGTAGGCGTGCTTGTCAAATCAGCTGTTATCACATGATATATTCTGTTCGTCTTTATTGCAGTCAGTTGCATTCACTATATAGTATAGTACATATTGGTATACATTCTAACAGACTCGAATGCTGTATTGTATAGTACGATGTGCTTTTTCTAGCCTTGGCATAGACAAGGCCAGCCCTGGAACTGCTGCTGACTTTACTTGGGCCACGCAGGCCGACATCGCTGTGTAAGGCAGACGTGCACAGAAGTTTAGCTATGATCATGATTAGGATCACTATTCTGATCATGATTCGTATTGGGATAATCATCGTTAGTAGTATTATGTTTAGCGTTATTTTTATTGTTATCATTATCTCCTGTGTTGGCATGTTACCCAAGCAGCTCAGGTAACATGAAGTGTCATATCACCCTCGTCGAAGACAGTTGCTAGACAGGCGATTTAGTAACTGTCACACGACAAGCGATGTGACCACTGGTTCATGCACACAGGATGTGCACAAGCGTCTTGCCACAGCATCAGAACGTCGCATCGCCGAAGCATCAGCTCCTCCGGGCTTCTCGATATTGCCCATGAACAGGCTGCGAGTGAGACCGCCAGCAGGAGGCTCAGCAGCTTGACTGGTGGTGGATGGCAGTGAATTGCTGCGTCTTCGCAGAGAGGAGCGCGTAGAAAGCTTGACTCTGAGTCTGTCTCTCTCTCTCTCTCTCTCTGTCCTCTCTATCCGGAACCCAGCCTAATGGCAGAGCGACAGCCTGAGGTCCCAGTGTCCCTGATGAGCCTCCGGGAGGCTTCCGCCTTTTCTTGGCTGCAAAGCTTCCTCCTTGAATTCTCGGCTTTCAGTGAAGGCCCGTGGGAGATTGATGCCACTGCCTTTGGCGACTATGCTGCTACATTCGCGCCTCGGTCAGAAGCTTCTGCCTCTCGACAATCTTCGCTTCCTCAGAGTTTACAAAGCTCTGATTTTGTTGCGAAATCGAACTCAGGCAAGGCTGGACTTCAACCAGGCCACATCCCGAGCATCTGCGGGGATCAAAGGTGAGAGGGAGGTCGGTATTGAAACTAGGAATTAGGCTTAAGTAGCGTCAGGGGCTTTCTCCCGAGTTCAGTCCAGGACGGCTTCGTGGAGGGCGTGGACGCACGAAGTCACTTTGACCACTCTGGGCAGGGAGCCCCGGATTTAAGATGATTTAAGCAACGCAAAGTTCAGGTTTTTGTAGTAGTAGTGTAGTTAGTGGTTTGCAGCGATAGCAGTGTGCTGTCGGGCACGGGGCTGATGCTGGACTGGCGTGGCGGCAAGCGGTGTCATGCGGTGCCGCGGGTTTCATTTCAGTGGAGTTGGACTCTGCCAAGGCTCCAGCCGGTGGATCTCGCTCAGATCTGGGCCCTGGCAGATGCAGGAGCGGCGCACCGTGCAGCGTTAACAGCGGGGCTTTGACACTGCATGGAGCAACTCTGAAGAGTCCTCACCGCACCAGAGCTGCCGCAGGCCGTGATGGGCGCTTGTCCCTGGCAGAGTGCAGCGCTTAGGGGATATGCCAGCAAAAGGTTACCAGTGTGTTTTTCAGGCAAATGCAGCTCATTTCCGTCATACCGATCGGGCTGGCATCATCTCAATACAACAGCTGGAGGTTTGTAAAGGGAGCAGCCGTCAAGGACCACGAACAAAATCGCCAAGACTTGTGCAGCCTAAACCGGCAGAGGTTTGGAGCTTTGAAACGCTGCTGTGAGAAGCAATCAGCAAGGCAGACGTCTTAAATAAAACGAGCCATGCGCCAGCTCTCTCAAGCGAGGATCAACATGGGAAGGGGCAGCGCTTGTGTCCTGTTTTGGTGTGGCTTAGCGGCTCGAGAGCTCTGCATCGAAAGAAGCAAAAACGAGGCCCAAGCGACACCTCGAACAAAGATACAAGACACAAGTGATCTCTGCATCTTCAAGATCAGCCCATGTCAAGCCGCAAAGGAAACACAAGGACGCGGATCACCACGAGTAACATCCTGAGCTCTTTGTGGCCGGCAGCGCGTCGGCCCTTGGCGCCCTTCCTGGTGCTGGGCGTTGACATTCTGGACGCCTTGGACTTGGCCTCCTGCGAGGAGGCTTCGCCGCCCGCGACCTGGGAGCCAGAGCCCGGTGTGGCTCAAGAACTGGATGGCCCCAGAGAAAGTCGTCTTGATGTGGATCCGCAAAACGCGCGTTTTGCGGATCCACATCAACACGACTTTCTCTGGGGCCATCCAGTTCTTGAGCCACACCTGATGATGTGGATCCGCAACACGCGGGCGATTTCCTCATCACGCCAAGCCCTGGACAGGAGCCCGGGACGGTGTTGCTACAGGGCTGGCAGGGGCAGCCAGACGGTTTTTGGAGAGAAGGAAGATGGCTCCCGGGAATGCCAGCACCTGTAGCCCTCCACTTTGATCCCGTCAGAAGCTGGCAGGAGTTTGGGCGGACCTTGGGTCACCACGACTACACCGTC